TGTGTGTGTGTGTGTGTGTGTGTGTGGCCAGCTCAGCCCACCAGGGGGCAGGGCTAGATGTACAGCTACTTTTTCTTAGTTCACTGAGAGGAAAGATTTGTACTAATATTGTTTAGACAAGATATTATGTCTCCATCTTTTCCTCTGAATAGCTACTAGTAAGATAACAATATGCAATGTATTAATTATTGTAACTGTCATACAATCTGTCTTGAAACTGTTTCATTGTTATTTTATCCTTTTCTCATTGAAATGAAAAAAATAGGTAATATAAAAACCATTGTTAATTAGCTATCCCTGTTTTGAAATTTTCTAACATATGTATTGTAGCATATTTACTTGTTTCTGTCATTTTTTTCTATTTGCTTTTGCTTCTGTTTTCACTCTTCAAATTAATATGAAACAAGATAAAATTTAAAAAATAAGCTAACCAAATTCTGCCTTGAAAGGAAAGAGGAGATGATCAAAGCTGTCTCCCACTACTTTAAAATTAAAACATTGTAACAAATCAACATAGGAGATCAAGAATATGTTCACACATGAAGGCTGACATAAGAAAGTGTCAACTATGTCTCAACAAAATGTTATCAGAGTTCATGAATGGTTAAATAAACGGAAAGATAAGCCATGTTCATGAGTGAAAGGATTTGGCACATTATATACTTCAGTTCTCATAAATAAACCTATTAGAGTCACCCTTATGAGATGGCTTTTAATAAAACTCTAACTTTGGGTTAGGGGATGGGACAAGAGGGAGGAACTAAGATATATCATTTAAAAGTACAAATTCCCTATGATGAAAGTGACCATTATGCATATCTAAATTGTACTATTAAGTTTAGTTATAAAAAAAGAGGTCAATAAATTCTGTATCTAAATATTAATTAAAACTTTAAGAATAGTTCATTTATTTATTTATTTATTTATTTATTGTAAATAGGGAAGAGTCTACAGGGTGTTCAGAGCCTCACTATTAGATTGGACGCATCGTGATTCTCCTGTTTACAGCTTACCAAGCGCTGGGATTAAAGGTGTGCACTACCATGCCCAGTCTCAGCGTGCCCTGGGGGTGGTCACTTACCCTTTTAAAAGAAATGGCACAATAAGATTTGAAAAATTTACCTGCTATATGTTTTAAAAACATGTCTGTAATAGAAAAGCAAAGTGATAATTTATAGCAATATATAAATGCAACAGTGAAAACAAATACAGAACATAAAGAAAAAGACATCCAAAGAAGTCCCGGTACATGAGGATCTGAAATATGACTAAGTGACAAAACCACCTTAAGCTAGGTTATTGATAGTATTAGTAGGGGGCTGGGGAAATAGCTCAGTGGAATAAGTGTTTGCCTGGCAAGCACATTGTCCTGAGTTTGATCCCTGGTACCACCAAAAAAAAAAAAAATAGTATTAGTAAATAAGCTCATTATGCATAAAAAAGTAGATATACTAATTATTTGCATTGTACAAAAAAGCAAGGCCAAATTAGAGTTCTAAATGAGTTAAAAGCAATAAAGCGAATAGTGACAGTTGTTCTACAATGTTAGTTTTAGCTTGCTGATGTAATAAATTACAACAAACTCAGTTGTTTGTTCAATGTAAACTTTCCTTTAAACTTTCTATGCATCATAATTCCATCATTGTGTGCTCGCTTCGACAGCACATATACTAAAAATGGAATGGTACAGAGAAGTTTAGCACGACCCCCGCACAAGGATGATTCTCAAATTAATGAAGAATTCCATCATTGGCCTTGTGTGACTAATATCAAAACTTTGGGAGGGTTATATTCCTTTATTTTTCTTAGTATATATGTGTAGTATGCAATGATTACATATATTGTAAGGAGTTGGCATATGTACACAACAGATCCAAATTCCTTTTTCTATCCCCTGACCATTCCAGTTCTCCCGGTTTCTTCCAGTTCCTGATCCCCTTACCGCTTTCAAAACCTCTATTTCCACCCTTTTGTTTAGGTTTTTTTTTTTTTTGTTTTGTTTTTTAACATTTTTTGTTCGAGTTCTAGTCCCTTGAAATTTCCAGTTTCTAAAGTCCACCCAAGAACCGGCGGTGTAGCCCAGCGAACTAAGCACTTATTTAGGTAAACCATGATGGCCCCGCCCCCAGGAGCGCTGAGCCAGCTGGCGTTGGAATCCTGGCATGGTGGCGCACACCTGTAATCCCAGCACTAGGGAAGCAGTAATCAGGAGGATGACTACGAGTCCGAGCTGCATAGTGAGACCCTGCACAAAGAACAAAAACAAAAAGGAAAAAAATCTTAAGTCAAGCTATGTCATGGTTTGTAACATTTTTTTCATTTTCAAAGCTAGCCACATAGTATTTCTCTGACTCTGCTTCTGGTTGTACAAATCTTTTTATCTGACAAGTAACAGCTAAGAAAAGTTCTCCAGCATTGTAGATTCCCATGATTAGATTAGACCAGTCCCATCTGGATGTATCCTAACATCCCCCATATCAACATTTAATCAAATATGCAAAGTTTCTTTTGTCATACAAAGTAAAATATTCACAGATTCCATGGATTAAAATGTGGACATTTTTGAAGGACTATAATATGTTAACTGCTTCAGTGATCTTTGAGACTATTTTTATAATCTAGGAAAAACTAGAAAGTGAATAAAGTAGGAACCTTAAAGCACAAAGTATGGTAAGGGGCAAGGGATCCAGATCAGCAGCACAGTACCTGCCTGGCAAGCACAAGGTCCTGAGTTTGATTCCTGGGACAAAAAAAAAAAAAAAAAAAAAAAAAAAAAAAGATAGTGATAGAGATAGAGATCGAGATCAAGATAGAGATAGAGATAGAGATAAAGGAGTTTTACTAGATAGATTTAATACATCAAAATTGAATGTTTCTTTTCAATGAAGCAGATAATAAACAAAGTTACCAGACAAAGGAAAAACTGAGAACAGGTATTTTCAAGGTCAACACCTACCAAAAATATAGATCACAGAGAAAACAAAGGATCCTAACTTGTCAGCAGCTATTTTGACTTTAAATATAGTTCATATTCTGGGTCAGAGATTGGAAGAATGAATTTAAAAGATACAACTACATGCTGTTTGGAAGGGACGCACTTTAGATCCAAAGACATGGAGAAGATAAAAATACAATGAAACTCAAAAATCATTTTGTAAAACTGGAAGACAAAGACAGCTAATATGGCATGCTAAGATAGGGAAAATAGGTTTTAAGATAAAAATTGCTATTAGAGACAAAAAACAATGTTAAATGAGTGGTAAAAGTATTATTCATCAGGAAGATGTAGCATTTATATGCAAAAAGATGCCCAAAATGTGGCTTAAAATACCTGAAATAAAATTTAAGAATCAAAGAAATAGATGTTTGAAAAATATAGTCAGAGAATTTAGGTGTCCATTGTTTCATATCTGATAAACCAATGAGTAAGAATATCAACAAGAACGTACAAGACTTGAATCCACTATAACCAACAAGGCCTACAGAGATATTGGTAGCAGACTCCATTAAACAAAAAGACAAACAAAAAAATGAGATTGAAGACAAATTATCTAAAATTTACTTCTTAGAGAACACATCCCTTCAAAAGCCAAAAGAGTGATGAAGGCTTATATCTAAAGACCTTAGGAGATAACATGAAGAAAATACAGATAAGCATTATATTAGTTTAAGAGGAGCAGTGAAAAAAGAGAGGTAGAAAGCTTAGCCAGGGAGATGGCTCAGTAGAATAAGCATTTGCCTGGCAAATGCAATGGCCTGAGTTCAACCCCTGGTTCCACCAAAAATAAAAAAAGTTTAAAAAAGAAATAAAAATAGAAATAAAGAAATACTGACACCCAGATTCATGAATCCAAAAGAAATGCTATTAGAGGGGGCCAGGGAGATGGCTCAGTGGAATAAGCACTTCCCTGGCAAGTGCAAGGGCCTGAGAGCCAAATAAATAAATAAATAAATAAATAAATAAATAAATAAATAAAATGCTATTAGCATAAATATAAATAGGTCTACAAAAAAAAGTCTTTGATCCATCTTCAAGTCAAATATAATGAGAAAATTTTGAAAGTAACAAGAAAAAAACAATTTCTCATAGGTAAGGGACTATTCATAAGACTTGCCATGTCTAACACTCTCAGCAGATTTTTCAGATGAAAGCTTGCAAGCTAAGAGAAAGTGGGTTACCATATTTATAGTGCTAACAGAAAAACCTGCCAACAAGAACACTACACCCAATAGGACTATCATTCCTGAATGAAGAAAACTAGTTTCCCAGGAAAAGGCTATGGAACCTCATCACCACTAGAACTGTCATGCAAGGTATAATAAAAGGAGTTCTTCAAGTTTAAATAGAAGATCCTATCACATGTTAAAACTATAAAATTATAAGGATAGAGTCAAACTCAGAGTACTCTTACTGTGATTGTATTACATAAACCAATTTTAACTCTAGTATAAAAGTCAAATGAAAAAAGTATCAAAAATATGATAAATAAAAAAAATCTGTTAATGAATACGTTATGTAGAAAAGATATCCATTGTGACAGCAATAATACAAAATGTAGAAGAATGAGAACTCACAGTATTTGAGTCAACGTTAAGTTGTTACCAATGAGTGGTAACAATAGTCCATGCAAGGGAAACCCCCCAAAAATAGGTGCAGCTAAGCAATACTCAGATAAAGTGTACTTCAGGTCAAAACTGATCAACAGAAGCAAAGAAGTTCATATAGTACTTAAACTGGGCAAATAACAATTACTAATGTATATGCATCAATAACAGAGCACCCAACTTCATAAAATGAACACTACTGGACATAAATGACCAAATAAATATCAATACAATTACTGTGGGTAGCCTCAGTAACCAATTATCAAAAATAGATGAACTTCAAAAAGTCAGCCAAGAATCAGCAGAGAACAGGCACAGCTCAGGCACATGCATGGTAGGCAGGACCAGTGGCGTGGAGAAGTCTGAAGCAGCAGTGAGAATATGAGCCAGCACTGGGAAGCTAGGTACACTGGCATTGTGCTCCAGCACACAGACACATAGATCAAAGCTTTTGGGGAGAACTTCAGCAGCAGAAGACCAGTCCCTGCCTCCCCATTCAGATGCCAAGATCAGAATCATATCGAGCACAGATCCTACTGCACACTTGGTTGGAATATACATTACATTCTGGGATCTGAGTTGGTTGGTTACTACCACAGAACGGTGGATACAGAGGAATTTTGATAGTTTAATTTTTCTTTGTTTAACTACTTTTCCTTTTACTGTCTGGTTGAATTTTTTCATCCTTTCATTTCCATCATTTTAGTTTCTTACCTTTCTTCTTGATTTCTTCCATTTATCATTTTTTCCTCAACTATCTCTCTTCATTTTATGATATCTTAATGTGAGTGAACATTCTTGTTTTTCATATATACTTCAATACTCCTCCACTTTATCTTTCATTGTTTCACTCCTATTTTCTCTAATTTTCCAAAACTTAGGTGATCATTTTTTACCATCTAGGATTGTTTTTACTATATTTGGCCTCATTCAGCTCTCTCTGGTCCCCAGCCCTTTTACATCCCACCATGCAAAACATTAAAATAATTCTGCTAAGGGAAAAATCATGACAGACAAGTACATGGAAAATGTTGAATTTTATTACATAACTGTAGAATTGGCTCCTATGGCCAAAGGTATTAGGTTCATAGTTATTAAAGTTTGTCAGTAGTTAGGCTATGCTTGAAGCTATTGTTATTCCCCACTGTACTAATTTAGCGAGGATGTCATGCCTGTTATATTTAGCTTCTCAACCTTGCATTACAAATTCATGATTGTCTGCAGTTATCAAATAGTACAATACCAAAGGGCTGGATGCTGAGTCAAAAAATTAGCAATTTCTCACCTTTAACAAGTTGGAAAGGCAGGAAGACATAAAGAACAAGACCCACCTAAATCTGGCAGACATCCCCGAGGAATAGGCATTTCCTAGGGAAACTTTGACATTAGTGATAGAGCTATCTACCTAAGAAATCTACAAGAATCAACAAAGAAAACAAAATAAAATACAAAATGACAAGAAACAAAAGAAAAATATCCACACCACCAAGGAGAATTCCAGAAAAAAATGAGATAGAGAAAACTGGAAGCTACTGCCTGGAATTTTCTGAAATGATAGCAGCAGATGTGAAAAAAATGGAAGCATCTATAAAAAAATAATCTGTGAGGCAAAAAAAAAAGAAATGATAATCAAAATGAAAGAAATTATGAACATTACAATAGAAAATAAATGGAATCCATAAAACAGATCCAAAGAGAAATCCAAGAGATTAAAAACTCCATTGAAATTATATGCAAAAGAGTGAATGATGGCCAAGATAGAATATCAGACCTAGAAGGCAGGATTGATGTTAATCACCATAAAACGAATCCTAAAGATAGAAAGCAATCATGAAAAGTCAATCCAACAGCTACAATGCAAAGCAAAGAAGAACATCATAAGATTTATTGGCATCAATGAAAAACCTGGAGATAGCACAAATGCATTAAAAACCTCTTCACAGAAGTAAAGGAAGATAAAGTGAATCAAGAAGATAAAGTGATAGCCTTGTCACTAATATCAAGGCTTCCCTCGGAAATGTCTGTTGCTCAGAGATGTCTTCTAGATGTGTTGGCTCTTGGTCTTTGCATCTATCAAAAAAACCTGCCTTTCCAACTTGTCAAAATTTTCCAAATATGGACAAAGAATCTGACATATAAGTAAATTAA